ACACTGTCGTTTTTTTTTCGGGTCGAAATTTTGAATTTCGATATCTCAGCTCTGGAAGGGTCTAGAGCCTCCATTTTTGCACTCAGGTCAAAGTCTCACAGCCCTCTATCATAATCCAGAGTTTTGAGAAGATTGGAGAAACTTAATTTTTCGCCCGAAAATGAAAAAAAACGAAAGGGGTAACACTGTCGTTTTTTTTTCGGGTCGAAATTTTGAATTTCGATATCTCAGCTCTGGAAGGGTCTAGAGCCTCCATTTTTGCACTCAGGTCAAAGTCTCACAGCCCTCTATCATAATCCAGAGTTTTGAGAAGATTGGAGAAACTTAATTTTTCGCCCGAAAATGAAAAAAAACGAAAGGGGTAACACTGTCGTTTTTTTTTCGGGTCAAAATTTTGAATTTCGATATCTCAGCTCTGGAAGGGTCTAGAGCCTCAATTTTTGCACTCAGGTCAAAGTCGAACAGCCCTCTATCATAATCCAGAGTTTTGAGAAGATTGGAGAAACTTAATTTTTCGCCCGAAAATGAAAAAAAACGAAAGGGGTAACACTGTCGTTTTTTTTTCGGGTCGAAATTTTGAATTTCGATATCTCAGCTCTGGAAGGGTCTAGAGCCTCCATTTTTGCACTCAGGTCAAAGTCTCACAGCCCTCTATCATAATCCAGAGTTTTGAGAAGATTGGAGAAACTTAATTTTTCGCCCGAAAATGAAAAAAAACGAAAGGGGTAAAACTGTCGTTTTTTTTTCGGGTCGAAATTTTGAATTTCGATATCTCAGCTCTGGAAGGGTCTAGAGCCTCCAATTTTGCACTCAGGTCAAAGTCTCACAGCCCTCTATCATAATCCAGAGTTTTGAGAAGATTGGAGAAACTTAATTTTTCGCCCGAAAATGAAAAAAAACGAAAGGGGTAACACTGTCGTTTTTTTTTCGGGTCGAAATTTTGAATTTCGATATCTCAGCTCTGGAAGGGTCTAGAGCCTCCATTTTTGCACTCAGGTCAAAGTCTCACAGCCCTCTATCATAATCCAGAGTTTTGAGAAGATTGGAGAAACTTAATTTTTCGCCCGAAAATGAAAAAAAACGAAAGGGGTAACACTGTCGTTTTTTTTTCGGGTCAAAATTTTGAATTTCGATATCTCAGCTCTGGAAGGGTCTAGAGCCTCCATTTTTGCACTCAGGTCAAAGTCTCACAGCCCTCTATCATAATCCAGAGTTTTGAGAAGATTGGAGAAACTTAATTTTTCGCCCGAAAATGAAAAAAAACGAAAGGGGTAACACTGTCGTTTTTTTTTCGGGTCGAAATTTTGAATTTCGATATCTCAGCTCTGGAAGGGTCTAGAGCCTCAATTTTTGCACTCAGGTCAAAGTCTCACAGCCCTCTATCATAATCCAGAGTTTTGAGAAGATTGGAGAAACTTAATTTTTCGCCCGAAAATGAAAAAAAACGAAAGGGGTAACACTGTCGTTTTTTTTTCGGGTCGAAATTTTGAATTTCGATATCTCAGCTCTGGAAGGGTCTAGAGCCTCCATTTTTGCACTCAGGTCAAAGTCTCACAGCCCTCTATCATAATCCAGAGTTTTGAGAAGATTGGAGAAACTTAATTTTTCGCCCGAAAATGAAAAAAAACGAAAGGGGTAACACTGTCGTTTTTTTTTCGGGTCGAAATTTTGAATTTCGATATCTCAGCTCTGGAAGGGTCTAGAGCCTCCATTTTTGCACTCAGGTCAAAGTCTCACAGCCCTCTATCATAATCCAGAGTTTTGAGAAGATTGGAGAAACTTAATTTTTCGCCCGAAAATGAAAAAAAACGAAAGGGGTAACACTGTCGTTTTTTTTTCGGGTCAAAATTTTGAATTTCGATATCTCAGCTCTGGAAGGGTCTAGAGCCTCCATTTTTGCACTCAGGTCAAAGTCTCACAGCCCTCTATCATAATCCAGAGTTTTGAGAAGATTGGAGAAACTTAATTTTTCGCCCGAAAATGAAAAAAAACGAAAGGGGTAACACTGTCGTTTTTTTTTCGGGTCAAAATTTTGAATTTCGATATCTCAGCTCTGGAAGGGTCTAGAGCCTCCATTTTTGCACTCAGGTCAAAGTCTCACAGCCCTCTATCATAATCCAGAGTTTTGAGAAGATTGGAGAAACTTAATTTTTCGCCCGAAAATGAAAAAAAACGAAAGGGGTAACACTGTCGTTTTTTTTCGGGTCAAAATTTTGAATTTCGATATCTCAGCTCTGGAAGGGTCTAGAGCCTCCATTTTTGCACTCAGGTCAAAGTCTCACAGCCCTCTATCATAATCCAGAGTTTTGAGAAGATTGGAGAAACTTAATTTTTCGCCCGAAAATGAAAAAAAACGAAAGGGGTAACACTGTCGTTTTTTTTTCGGGTCAAAATTTTGAATTTCGATATCTCAGCTCTGGAAGGGTCTAGAGCCTCCATTTTTGCACTCAGGTCAAAGTCTCACAGCCCTCTATCATAATCCAGAGTTTTGAGAAGATTGGAGAAACTTAATTTTTCGCCCGAAAATGAAAAAAAACGAAAGGGGTAACACTGTCGTTTTTTTTTCGGGTCGAAATTTTGAATTTCGATATCTCAGCTCTGGAAGGGTCTAGAGCCTCCATTTTTGCACTCAGGTCAAAGTCGCACAGCCCTCTATCATAATCCAGAGTTTTGAGAAGATTGGAGAAACTTAATTTTTCGCCCGAAAATGAAAAAAAACGAAAGGGGTAACACTGTCGTTTTTTTTTCGGGTCGAAATTTTGAATTTCGATATCTCAGCTCTGGAAGGGTCTAGAGCCTCAATTTTTGCACTCAGGTCAAAGTCGCACAGCCCTCTATCATAATCCAGAGTTTTGAGAAGATTGGAGAAACTTAATTTTTCGCCCGAAAATGAAAAAAAACGAAAGGGGTAACACTGTCGTTTTTTTTTCGGGTCGAAATTTTGAATTTCGATATCTCAGCTCTGGAAGGGTCTAGAGCCTCCATTTTTGCACTCAGGTCAAAGTCGCACAGCCCTCTATCATAATCCAGAGTTTTGAGAAGATTGGAGAAACTTAATTTTTCGCCCGAAAATGAAAAAAAACGAAAGGGGTAACACTGTCGTTTTTTTTTCGGGTCGAAATTTTGAATTTCGATATCTCAGCTCTGGAAGGGTCTAGAGCCTCCATTTTTGCACTCAGGTCAAAGTCGCACAGCCCTCTATCAGAATCCAGAGTTTTGAGAAGATTGGAGAAACTTAATTTTTCGCCCGAAAATGAAAAAAAACGAAAGGGGTAACACTGTCGTTTTTTTTTCGGGTCGAAATTTTGAATTTCGATATCTCAGCTCTGGAAGGGTCTAGAGCCTCAATTTTTGCACTCAGGTCAAAGTCTCACAGCCCTCTATCAGAATCCAGAGTTTTGAGAAGATTGGAGAAACTTAATTTTTCGCCCGAAAATGAAAAAAAACGAAAGGGGTAACACTGTCGTTTTTTTTTCGGGTCGAAATTTTGAATTTCGATATCTCAGCTCTGGAAGGGTCTAGAGCCTCCATTTTTGCACTCAGGTCAAAGTCTCACGGCCCTCTATCATAATCCAGAGTTTTGAGAAGATTGGAGAAACTTAATTTTTCGCCCGAAAATGAAAAAAAACGAAAGGGGTAACACTGTCGTTTTTTTTTCGGGTCGAAATTTTGAATTTCGATATCTCAGCTCTGGAAGGGTCTAGAGCCTCCATTTTTGCACTCAGGTCAAAGTCGCACAGCCCTCTATCATAATCCAGAGTTTTGAGAAGATTGGAGAAACTTAATTTTTCGCCCGAAAATGAAAAAAAACGAAAGGGGTAACACTGTCGTTTTTTTTTCGGGTCGAAATTTTGAATTTCGATATCTCAGCTCTGGAAGGGTCTAGAGCCTCAATTTTTGCACTCAGGTCAAAGTCGCACAGCCCTCTATCAGAACCCAGAGTTTCAAGAAGATTTGGGATACTTCATTTTTCACCCAAAAAAAAAAACGTAAGGGGTAACACAGTCGTTTTTTTTTTTCGGGTCGAAATTTTGAGTTTCGATATCTCAGCTCTGGAAGGGTCTAGAGTCTTCATTTTTGCACTCAGGTCTAAGTCCCATGGCCCTCTATCCGAATCCAGAGTTTCAAGAAGATTGGAGAAACTTATTTTTTCGGACCAAAAAAAAAAACCACTGTCGTTTTTTTCGGGTCAAAATTTGGAGTTTTAACCCTTCATTTGTACATTTATGAGCCATAAATGTAATAGAAAGAGGTAACCATGGTGGACAGTCAAGGTGTCATTCTATCAGCCTGTAGGCTCAATTATGTGTGAAGTCGTCGGGTCCGAATTGGCGGAAAAATTCACAAAATGAGACGTCATGCGCGTTCTCGTCTACTTGCACTTACATCTGTAAGGCAGCCAATAGTAAGCAGCGGCGATCGCTAGCAGTAGTGTTTCAAATGGACTCTGCGAACGGAAAGAAGTGACCAGCCTCCAGCACACGGAAATAAAACAGAAAAAAAACCTTATCTAGTGTGGCCAACGAGCGTGCGCACCGAGAACGAGCATGAGACTGGCTACAGTCTTCTCTAACGGCCACTGGAGTCAGTAACTGGAAGAAATTTCAAAAAAGAAAGTGTTTATTTTTTACTAGACAACCTTCAAAATGAATAGTGCTGTTACACTGAAACACTCAAGAGTGTCATCCCTTAATATCCCCAATTCTGTAGCCTTATGCATGTTTCCAAATTACACTGAAGTCGCATTTTGATTAAAATTCACATGGATATCTGTATCCTGCAATATCAACCATATAATCAAGAGTCAATGATGGTCAGAACATACAGTTTAGATCATTAGCACCTAGTTTATATTTTAAATGCTCATTATTATAGTTTATTATTTCTCCTTAGACTCATCGACTAATGGTTTAAATGAACGACTAACAGCTGACAAGAACAATCAGCCCTACATTTAAAAAAAAAAGGATCATCAAAAATGGATTTTATTTTTTATTTAGTACTGCCCTAAATAAACTAATCTCGCACCTCTTATCGTGGTGTTTCTGATCTTAGACAGACACAAATATTAAATTTAAAAAAAAATGTAATCTTACTCATCATCTCTTCTTTCAGCTTCTCGTTGCGCTCTTCAATTTGCCGTGGCAATCGCTGAAAGACAAATAGAAATTTATCCTCATGTTGTTACAAACCTGTCTTACATTTTATAAAAACTTTTAATTTGAGGCTGTTATCCCTCAATGACTTTTTATTTTTAAGAGTTTAAGATCATGCAATTTTTAAATTAATCAAACATTTGACTCTGTAACACATGCATTAGATAATAAATATACTGAAGCCTAATGATGAGGACGAGCCGCCGGGGGTTGGGCCTCAGCAAACTTCCAAGTGGTCCTCTATATAACTTAAATGATTATAAGAATCTTGATATCTAACTATGTGTAAGGCTTTTGGGAGTCAAAAGGCCAACCGGCAGAGAAACACTCACCATACAGGCCTCTCTAGCTGCAGGGATGCCCGGGTCTTTCTCCAAGACAGTTTTGTAGTCCTCTAGAGCTTCATCAAGCTTTTCTGTCTTCTCGTAAAGTTCTGCTCTCCGCAGAATGGCACGGACATAATTTGGATTCAGTTCTATGGCTGTGGATGACAAATACAATACACATTGTCTGAAACATCTTTGTTTCAAATCACATTTCCTCAGGAAAAGATACACATCAGAGACAAAAAATAAACAGTTGTGAGACTTTCTCTAGATACAGAACACAATGTGTAAAGGATATACTCTCACCTTTAGAGCAGTCACTGATAGCGCTGTCTTTTTTATCCTGTCAAATAAAATTTTAAATAAAGTTAATATGCAAAACTATGAATGAGAGAAAGAACACACACTGGAAGAATAGTATATGCAATACGCATTTGAAAAAATGAGGCGCGGGAAGGCACAACTCGTTTCAATGCAAAATTTTCGAGAAATTCCTACACATTGTCCCTTTAAACAAACCTTTAAAAGGTTTATACAGACCTGACCCACTCAGCAGAAAATAAAACAGAAATATACATTCTGTATCTGTACAAAAAAAAAAAAGAAAAAGCAAAAGTCACCTGATGCAAGCGTGCGGCAGCTCGATTAGAGAAGAGTATGGATCTTTCTTTACTGTAGCACACAGGACACACACGCAGGGCAGCCATGTAAGACTCCTCAGCATCCACATGCTCTGTAAAATAAATCACATGTCAGAAGCTCATCCACAAACACAATATCTTAAATATGTATATAAAGCTTCCTTACAAAACAAGGGATTCTTCAGACAAAAATGAAAAAATTATAGCATTATTTATTTGTGTATTATTGGTATTTTCTTAGAACATACAATTTGCTCTATTCATTTTGATCACATAACACCACCAGAAAAGTGTAATATGATAATGTTGGGAAGGAACACTAAAAGTTGAGTTATTCACTGATTATCATAATATTGTGCATAAGTCCTTAGATTTTGGTGTCATTCTATGCATTCAGATTTGACTTGAAACACACAATCCTTCAAAATCTTTTTAAATAAGTATCCTATGTTATTCAAATCTACATTTATTTGATCAACAGAAGAAGCAGAAACAGTAACAGCATGAAATATTATTACAATTTAAAATAAGTTGTTTCAATTTGAATATATTTTAAAATGTGATTTATTCCTGTGATGCCAAAGTTGAATTTTCAGCATCATTACTCCAGCCTTCAGTGTCACATGATCATTTAGAAATCATTATAATATTCTGATTTTGCTGCTCAAGAAACTTATTATTATCAATGTTCAAATAACAGTTGTGCTGCTTAATATTTTTTCAGGCTTCTTTGATAAACAAATCTTTTTTCATATTATAAATGTCGGTCCCACTTTATATTAAGTGGCTTTAAGTACTATGTACTTACATTGAACAATAAGTACAATGTATTATTGTGTTTCTGTTGTATTGTAAAACACTTTTGCTGCTATTGAGGTGTGATCTGGGTAAGGTTAGGGACAGGTGTGGTGGTATGGGTAGGTTTAAGAGTAGGTTAAGGTGTGAGGGGAGGGTCAACTGTGTAATTACAAATGTAATTACATAAATTAATTATAGCTGTAATTACATGCTGGAATTTTAAAATGTAAGTACAATGTAAAAACATGTATGTACACAATAAGTCCATTGTATCAAATTATTAATTTCAATATAATTACATAGTACTTAAAGCCACTTAATATAAAGTGGGACCGTTAGTGCCACTTCACAGATTAAAATAGGTGAGCAACGGACAGCAAGAATGTGATTTATCTTTGACTGGGATTGTCTTACCTCCATTCTTGAACTGCATGTTGCCCTTCTCCTTCAGCTCTAAACTCTCTTTTCTTCTGCTCTGTAATTAGAAGAGGGAAATAATACATATAAATATCAAGAGACAGTGAGCACATCAATGACAATGGCATTAAATATTTAACTGGATATGAAAAATAATAAGAAGAGGACCTCTTTTTCTTCTTCCGTCAGGTCTTTCTCCTGCTCGCGCAGGTATTCCTCATCATACTCCGTCACCTTGACCTCTTCTTTAAATTCAGAATCTGAGTCACTCTCTCTCTTCTCATCATTCTCCAAAAACCTCTCACATTTCTCCTGTTCTTCGCCACTATCTACCCCAGGATCTCCTGTCAAAGAGTCAGGTCTCTTTTCAGCTGACCTGTCCTCGAGCTCTTCAGAATCCTCTGATGATGTGTTATCCAAACACATCCGGTCAGTGTCATTCATGTTTTCTACGCTGTTGTCTTTGTCTGTCCTGGCATCTGACTCCAGTCTATCGTCGCGAGCCCTCTCTGTGCATTTAACGTCATTGTGTCCCTCTTCTCCGGGTAATTTGTCCTCACAGTCATAGAAATGGTCTTCTTCATGGTCTGCAGTGGTTTCTCTGGTCTCTGACACTTTTAAGGTGCTAGCCATGGCGGCTGAGAGCATCTCGGACTCCGTCTCCATCTGGAGTTGTGCTGACCCCACAACCTGAACAGTATTTGAGTGAAGTAAATGTAAATGACCTCAAACCATATTCACTCCCTCCAACCCTGCAAAACAATTTACCATAAATTAATCACATATTTAGCCTATTTGGGGGGAAAAATACAGCATGTCATTTAAAGCAAGTATTGAATAAGTCTAAAGTACATACTTCAGTTTAACGTACCATCATGTGCAGCTAAATGTGCTGAAACAATACAACAGACTTTGAATCGCTGCATTGTTATAAATGTCACGCTTACTTCAGAGCTGGTAAATCTCGTAACATACTTATTTTATAATGTAATGTTTCTTCAGCATTCCATAAACTTCATTAAATATAAAAACTGCAATCACAAAAACATTCGACAGTGATGTATAGTAGCTTAGATTGACAGGTTCAGATCAAAATATCAGTCAAAACATACTATTAGCAGGACTGATTTCACTTCAGCAGCTCTGCACTCGGCAAAAACGAATGCAATATTTTAAGTTTAACTTGCCTTTTTAATATTTAGTATTAATATTTGTAAGTATTTTGAAAATTATACATTTTAAACGGAACCTTTTAGATAAAAACAATCACACAGTACTTCCTCACCTTCTAGAAATGAGCCATAACGTCTCTTCCGGTTAATCATGCACTGCCTGCCTGACGCATGGGTAGAAAAGGATTCTGGGATATGTAGTTCTAGTTCGTACATACATATTTGAGTGATATTTAACCCTTTGATGCGCAAGCTACATGGATACCCCTTCTAATGCACAACATGGGTCTAAAAAGACCCGTATTCATTTCCTATGTTATTTCAGTGATGGCTGAGTGTTTTCTTTGCTGAATCTTTATATATGTATTTTATCATTTGTTATTCCAGGTATTCATTAAATATCTTGTTTTTGATTTCCACAATTCACAATTACACAATTTGATTTACGATTGATTGGGAGACAATTAAATGTAAATATATAAATACTTAAACAAACAAACACAATTCGTGCTTCAAAATTATTATGTTTACATAATGGCTGAGAATATAAAGCTTTTATCAGTGCTCTAACATCAGTTTTCAGAAACTATATGGCTACCATGGCATTGTTTATTGTATTGTGGTTAGCATGTAGGGCTAGTTATTTATTTATTTATTTATTTATTTATTTATTTATTTATTTATTTATTTATTTCAAATGTTGACCCTGAGTGTATGTGCAACAGTGGTTAAGGCCAACAGAACAGGAATACTAATATGAAGCCAGACAGAGTTTTGGCACAATTCCCCTCTCATTTCCGAGTTCTCACTTGGGCGGCTTGATGTGTTGAGGAGCTGAGAGAATGACATGATAGACAGTTCTGGCTCATATTGCAATGTGTCTCTGTTGGCTCGCCTTTGGGCCACCTGGTAGATCCTGGCATAGCAAGAGATCATAAAACCCACTGATAGAAATAAATTGACTTTGAAATTTAGGATATAAGCCCATATCTTTAGTGTATGACTTCATGTTTTCCACTGACAACAGTGAAAACAAAAGGACAGAGAAGGACCAAGATAGTAACAGAAGTCTGTGTGACATCCTGGAATGCTCATGCCAGGTCTTGTGATATATGTGATGTGAAATTTAAATATAGAAACAGAGGCGAACGTGACATTCAGGGGAAAAGCAACACACACACACAAAAAACTTTTCAAATCAGACCATCAAAATAAAGCATTAAAAGCAGTGTGTATAGCCAATAAGTGAGTCACAGAAATAAGGAGACAAGTGGAAAATGTTACTGGGAAGTGATGCTGTGTGTTACAGTTTCAATGGGTAAGACATCCTTAAAGTGATCCATGTGACTCCAGTGGTTTAACATCAGTTTTAGAAAGCGGTGCGAGTGCTTTGTTTGCGCAAAAAAAAAATAATAATAATAATAATAATTATATATATATAATTTACCACTTTATTAACAAAATATTAATCTCCAACACGTGTTCACAAGAGCACCACGGCGCATGCGTGTTGTGTTGTTACAAGAGCGCGTGTTAAAGATTAATATTTTGTTAATGAATCGGTGAATTGCATATGGACCTTATGTAAATATCACAGATATACAATAGGGCTCATCATGTAGCATATGCAACACACTAATACAGAACCTTGATTGTGTTGTACAATTGGCATCAGCTTAAAACGTGTATGTCAAGCAGACACTAAAAGACTTTCGTGATTTTTTTTTTTTTGTTTAATAGAACACAATAACTTACAAAATCACGGCAACAGGGGCCTTCACAAATTAATTGTAATTTCTTCATTAAGCACTTGTCTTGAGAGGGAAAAAAAGTCTTTATGTACACAATATAACACTTTAAATAGGGTGACAAATTTTATAATATGGTCCAAAAATAAGATAATAATAAAAACATACCAGGAGAAATTCACAACTTCTCTTTTTGCTAATGATGCACTAATGTTTCCTGAAAGAATCCAATTTGCAGGTTTAGAGCACACATGTTGGTTTGTGCCTTGAATTGTTCAGTCAAAAATAAGCTTTTCATGCCATCCATTCATTTGTTAAAAAGTGTGCTGTAATGACCCAAAAGCAAAACCAGACACCTGACATCCTCAACACCTTCACCTATTGAGCTGGAGATTACAAGGCGTCATGGATTTATATGTGAATCTAACAGAATAATCTTGACCAGGCCAAAAAGCATTATTATAAAACCGACACAATCTGAATAACATGAAGATCAAAAAAGGATTTAAATAAAGGAGGTGAACAGACCAGTGAGCAAGTCATACTGAGTTTTATCAGTGCTGCTCACAGCTGTGCAAGTCCAGGTGCAGAGATGATCCCATTATTCATGCAAACGTTACCATCATAACCACTACAATCAAACAGGCCAAATATAGACTTTTCATAAACTACTCATTTAAAACAGTATGTACACAATAATACACAATGGATGTTAAAAGGCTAATTTTGGTATTTCCATTTTAGGTTTTACACAGACATGTATTTCTGCAAAAAAAAAAAAAATGAACCTTGCAAAATCTAGCAAAGTTATATATTTTTTTTAATAATCATTATTCACTTATACTGTAGAGTGCAACAGCTGGTTTCCGGAAGAAAAAAAACTCAATTTCAATACAGGAATTGATTTTGATTTTTTAACAAATTGATAAACCTTTGAAGGCAGACTTACTGTGAGCTATGAGGTGTTCATCCATGATATGCTTTAGTTGAAACAATCAGCCTGCATGATTTCAGAGTATTTTGTTTTAAATAATCATGTCTGACCGTGAAATTCCTGATGAAAACCAAGAAAACCAAGTTTGAAAAAGTAACGCAACATTACTTTCCATAAAAAGTATAATTAAATAAATAATGCATTTAGTTACTTTTTTAGGGAGTAACGCAATATTGTACCGCATTACTTAAAGGGATAGTTCACTTTGAATTTAATTTTTGGTATGTTTTAGCTTAACTCAAGGGCATCAAGATGTAGGTGCTGCAGTATTTTCAATTTTGATATTTTTAGGTCAAACCGTTCTTGTCTGTCAGTCATATAATGCAGGCCTATGGTCACCACCTCAAAGAGCATGCACAGAGAAGTCCAAAATAAACATGATTTAATGACTCATAATTGTAAGTACACATTGATGGCCAAAGACACGAAACGAGCGGTTTGTGTGAGAAAACGAACAGTATTTATATCCTTTTTACCTCTTGTAACCACAGCCACGTCTAAGTACTCAGAGGGCGAAGGCGCTTCTGTCTGAGCAAGCACCGGAAGTGATCTCTTGCGTGTGTACGTCACTCATTGTTTACACAGAGATTTCAGAAGTGTTGCCCTTCACTGTGAAGATCTAAACATATTTATATATACGGGAAATCGCAATGGAAGACGATTTCAATATATAAACAGACAACATTTTTTTTTTTTGCAACCGCACAAGAGATCACTTCCCATGCTTTCCGGCGCTTGTGCAGACCAAAGCGCCTGTGCCTTCAAATCACGTGGACGTGGCTGTGGTTACAAGAGGTAAAAACGATATAAATACTGTTAGTTTTCTCACAAAAAACGCTCGTTTCGTGTCTTAGGCCATCAATGTGTACTTACATTTACGAGTCATTAAATCTTGAGGTGGTGACCATAGACCTGCATTATATGACTGACGGACAAGAACGGTTTGACCTAAAAATATCAAAATTGAAAATACACCTACATCTTGGATGCCCTTGAGGTAAGCTAAAACATACCAAAAATTATTTTCAAAGTGAACTATCCCTTTAACTTTTCCCAACACTGATTACACAGACATGTTTTGCAATAAACGTAAAATATACTCTCTCTTTCTCTCTCTCTAGTCGATTATGCTGTTTGCATTGCTTCATGGGATTGTAGTTCTTCCACCTTACTAAAGCCGTTAAGTACCTTTGTCCTTTTTAACCGATTTTCAAATACTTTTTTTTTCCCATCAAATCAAAGCTTGTACACCTAATAGCTGATTGGTTTGGTTCATGGGTTATACCTTAAGACTTTCCCTATGGGAAAATAGAAGGAAAAATACTTCTGCAACCAATACTGCTAAAAAAGTGGGCGGGCACTAATCCCCTCTATAATCATCATGCATGGCAATGGGGTCAGACATTTTACACTGCCATCTTGCGTCTTAGCTGCCAATTTGTGAAGTCTGTGTTAATATAGTACTGTAATATTGTTCGCCCTGTTGCTAGGTCAATTGATTTGTACATTGCCCTAGACTATAATTTGTTAGTGGAAGCAGACAATAAGCAGATAAAATGATAAATCAATTTACTTATTCACGTCTGTATCCTGATCACCTCGCTGGGGTTTATTTAAAAATAATTACAAGCTGACGGTACATTATCCCTTACAAAGCCACTGCAACTCTCAAATGAAACAACGTAGACATGCATGACAAGAAGCCCAATGTATTTCACATCTACAATAATGTATCAGATCTGTCCGGAAAAAAACTGAAAGACTGAAATCACTGGCATGTAAGTCCCTCTTGACACCAAGCTAGATAGCAGTCTCAGGTGCGGTTCTAGATATTGGCTCATGCTCTGTGTCTCGCTTCCCATTCTGTCCATTGGCATGCTGAGGTCCTTTCGAGTGGGTCCTACTGGGGAACAGCGAAGCCATCCTGTTAGATTCGCAGGGACTCTTCGCCCTAGAGCTGGACCTCATCATACCAGGAAAAGGGCTCCCAGATAGGGAGGAAGAGGAAGATGAGGTACAGGGAACCCAGCCTGGAAGAAGGCCTGATGCTGGACGAGTGAATAATATTGGGCTGGGGTGTGTTGGGGCCAGGGTCTGCTGGCTGCCATTCATGCAAATGGAGCTGGTGTCTGTGTAGACCTGCATGGCCGAGCCCGTCTGGACGCGGTAGTTGTACGCCCTCCAGCCCTGTCGTTTCCTCTGCTGACACTGGCACCTGAGGATCCGAATGAAAGCCTGCTTGAACTCACGGCTGTAACAGGGGTAGATAATGGGGTTCAGGCAGCTGTTGAAGTAGCCCAGCCAGAAGATCACTTTGAAGAATGTTTCAGGAGGTCGTAAACTGGTGTTAAATGACCCTACAAATAGAGGAAAACGAGAGGTCATTTTTTGGGGGAACAATCTCCATGCGTAGACTTTTTTCATCTGTCACCAGTAGATGGCAGACATTACCAACTCACATGTATCTGCAGAAACACAACTAGAATCTTTCTTTTCACATTTACCTTAAAGAATCAAAACCATCAAGATTTTTTGTGTTCATCTTTTAAACTTTATTGACAGTTAATATATCCCCAATTCTCATTAGCGTTATGTGACAGCAAAATATAAAAAAAAAAAAATAAAAAAAATCAGCATTAAAGGCCTCACAATGTGTACAGCCATTCGACTGGTTTTACTTTACACTAATAATGGATCTTTTTATTGTTATTATTATTATTATTAATTTGCATTTTAATTATGCAAATTGAGGGTAGGAAGTCATAATTGAATCATTAAATCTCACAATGGCAAAAAAAAAAAAAAAAAAAATCTATGAAACATACTGTGCAAAAATCTTAGGCATGTTACTATTATCACCCCCCAAAAATGGTTTTATGTCAATAATTTATATATTTTGCTGTAGTGTGTCAGTAGGAAATATCAATTTACGTTTTCAAACCATCAGGGTTTGAAACCCCAGTTGTGCAGTTGGGGCATGTTGTCACACTGCGTTAACTTACAATGTGCCCCAATTAGAAATATGCTATTATATTCTATTGAGAAAACAAGAGAAACATGTAAATAAAGACTGAGAGTCAATGTTCAGAAATGATTAATTATTATTTTGTTTAGAACTGTATAGCTGTGTTTTTCCGTGTGTTTGTTGTCAAACTCAAAAATTTGTATATTTTTAATTATTAAAAAATGGAATTATTTTATATGAAAAAGTAAAAAATATATATTTTATTAAGAAAATATTTTGGTTTGACTAGTATATTTTTTTATTAGATGAGATAACATTTTAAGCTGTTATATGGTGATGTTACAATGTGCCCCTCACATGATACAATGTACCCCACCTATGGGGCATGTTGTCACATTTCACTTCCGTTCTTTCAGGGTAAATCAAGAAAAAAGAATACACTGTATTAATAAAATAAAACCACATAATTGTAGACATTTGGTAAATTAAAGTGGGGGTGAATTCTCTAAACCCCAAGTAGATTTACACAAATTAACAAAGTCAAAAAGTGTTAGCCTACGTTGTGCCCCGTTCTCCCCTATAAAGAGAATTATAATTTTAAATGATTCAAAATGAGAAAAATATAATTCCTTATTTCGGTTTTTATTTTAAATATAATCCATATATGTTTCATGAGATTAATATTTTCCGGTCAGCCTGTAATTCAGCATTAATTCGGTCTCTGTCTAAAATCCTGTCTATTTTTGAACACCCTCATCCTGCCATAAAGAGCATCATTTGAATAACTTGCTCTTTGCTGTGCACTCTGTGCACTTTTATTAAAATGGTTATCTTAAGTTCTTAAATTCCAAAAAAGGGAAGATTGATAGTGCTTTTACAATTTTACTCCAGCTTCAATCCATTTAAAGCAACAACCAAAAGGTCTACCACTTCCAGGGGTGCCATTTTCAAAATGGAAATCATTCTCAGGTTTACACTCCCTCACTCTCCAAAAAAAAAAAAAATTAAATTAAAGGTCACACAGATCCATCATGCTTTTCCAGACTCTAGACTGTAGTTCATCTCCGCTAATGAATTTACTACCTCGCTCTTCCCTGAGGAATTTACCATGTTTTGTAAATGCCTGATGTGCAGCCCGTAATGTTTTTTGGCTCTCGTCTCCTTCTCATCTCGTCTCTGTTTTGATCTTACTAAATAAGTCTAGACTAACTGTTCATCTCAAAGTTTATATGTTTTATATTTTCAATAATTCTTCTGACATTTTTTTTTGCTCAGATGAACAGGATGCATGAGTGAAGCGAGAGTCTAATTTGCTCTGGTATATTAGTACAAGGCAGAATGAGACTTGGGTTCATTACCACACTTCAAGAAGAGCCGCAGGTGTGAAGCCTTGCCCTGCGGTCAGCTTCTGTCTCTCCCAGTAAGTGAATTATTCCATTACGCTAAGATGTTCTCACCTCTTTCTTCTCTAAATCACATGTCACTCAGACATCTCTAAGCCAGAGCATCTATAAATTAAGACAATCTGCACTTTAAGAAGTCAACAAACAATCAGGGACCTTGTTTCTTTCTTTTCAGTTCTGCTGTCCAGCTGGCATTTTGAGAAAATTAAATAAAGACTTTAGATATCATTAACCAAAATAGTACTGCTTTGAGAAACAGATTACTTGATGGATAAACTCTCATGTGGCCTGGTGGCAAAGTGGTCATTGATTTTTCAATGATCTGTATTCACTCTTCAATCAGCCATTAAGAGCACGAGTTATTCTGCAACACTAAAAGAAGTAAATTAATATTTGCAAGCCTTTTAAAGGAGTAGTTCACTTTTAAAAAAAACTTGCTGATAATTTACTCACCCCCATGTCATCCAAGATGTCCATGTCATTCTTTCTTCAGTCGAAAAGAAATTAAGGTTTTTGATGAAAACATTCCAGGATTTTTCTCCATATAATGGGGAACCAAACAGTTCAAACAGTTCAACTGTTCAAAGGGCTTTAAACGATTCAAGACGATGAATAAGGGTCTTATCAAGCGAAACGATCGCTCATCTAAAAAAAAAATAACACAGTTTAAGTTTTATAAGCTCAAATGGTCCCTTGCTCTGTTCTGTGATGCACGTTCATGACTCTCCTGTTCGAACTCGTACATCAAAATGAACGAATCTTTTTTTGTGTCATTTGGTTGATTCAACGAACAAAATGAACGAATTGACTCGGAAAAAGATTTGTTCATTTTGACCATTTGAGCTTATAAAACGTAAACTTTGTTATTATTTTTTTTAATGAGCGATTGTTTTGCTTGATAAGACCCTTATTCACAGTCTTGAATCGTTTAAAGCCCTTTGAACAGTTTGAAGTTTGCACTGAAACTGTCTTTTGGACATTGAACCGTTTGGTTCTCATTGAAGTCCATTATATGGAGAAAAATCCTGGAATGTTTTCATCAAAAACCTTAATTTCTTTTCGACTGAAGAAAGAATGACATTGACATCTTGGATGACATGGGGGTGAGTAAATTATCAGCAAAAGTTTTTTGAAAAGTGAACTACTCCTTTAAGCTAAAGCAACACTCAACCGAGTATTTGTGGAAGTAAAACATAATGGAAATCTCGGTAAAAATGAGAATGTTAAAGGAAGATCACTAAATTCAAGGCTTCTGGTCATTCCTAGGATATCGAAGTCCAGTAAAGGAGGGAGGGCGTTCTCGCATTTAGCTCCAAAACTCTGGAATGGCCTTCCCGATACGGTCCGAGCCTCTGACTCGCTGACACAGTTTAAAACTAGATTAAAGACGCTTCTCTTTAGTCAAGCATTCACATAATGCTTACCTTCTAGTCCTCTGTTATGCCATACGGAACCGTTTGCCACTGAAACTGCTTAACGCACCAGTGGGGCTCGACAGCCTTTTAGACAAACGGGTCGGTGCGTATGGTTGGGTTGCGGAGAGTTCAGGTTACGGAGAGTTTGTGAGTTATAACGGAAATCATTATGAACATCAGCTAATTATTTCCCATCTGCCTTTCTGCTGTTATCTCGGACGCTTGTCCCGAGAAAAATGGCGTTCGTCAGGTCCAGTTTTGTGTCCAGCCTCTCACGGGGATTTCGGATGCCCCAACACCTGTGATGAGACGACTCAACGCCTGTGAAGAGACGACTCAACGCCTGCGATATGTTATGGCGCCGTTTGATTCATAAACAATATTTATATTTAATATTTATATTTAAACAATATGAATGTAAGCCAGAGGAGAACTGGCCCCCGACTGAGCCTGGGTTCTCCCAAGGTTTTTTCTCCATCCAATCTGATGGAGTTTGGTGCCACTGTCGCCTTGCTTTTGGCTTGCTTTGAGCTTGCTCAGTTGGGGTTATTTAGTGTTTAGCAATGTTGTTGATCTGTGTTGTGCTACTTTCATGTTATCACTGTGAAGCTGCTTTGATACAATCTGTATTGTGAAAAGCGCTATATAAATAAATGTGACTTGACTTGACTTGACTTGAAGTCAAACGTAGACCAAATCTTGATGCAAAGCAACCTTCTCATATACCAGTTAACTCCAATATTCATACCATGGGATATGAAAACAAAGGCCACTCAAAAAAGGGAAGTTAACTCCTCAAGGTCAAACACATATTTGCCTTCAAAATATTTCCTTACTCATTTGCAGGAAAAACATATCGTCCCATCTGCTAATATGACCCTTAGAAGGTCACTGGGAGCTGAACTTACAGGTCATGAAGTGAATATAGGAGGGAGATTAACTTTTTTGACCAGATTTTTCTGTTGTGGGAATGGTACCTCTTCAGTATTCCCACACCTCATCAGAAAATTCTGGGTTAAGATAGGGAGTGAGCCTGGGAATGAGAGAGCTCTGAAGACATTGGCATCTCCAGTGCATTCCAACAGGAGACCACAGCAAGCTTCAGGGACCAGCTCTGTATAACTCATCCATTGCTAAATTAAATGACCACACATCCGATTAACAGGACAGACGTCGCCTTCAATTCAAACCAGCGCACGAGTCAAGGCTTGTCAGTGATTAGAATATATTGCAAAAGAAAAATATATATTATGTCCTTGCAATTAACCTTCTGCATGTGTTCCACTGGACCTTGTCCATGACAGAACTCAACACTAATCTTTTCCGTGAGTAAGCAGTATTGAACTTTGACAGTTTAAGACATTTTGGACTGAGAGCACAGAGATGGCTGCCACAAACAGAACCTGAACCAATGAAACGTTTGAGCTGGAGACGTGTAGTTTTTCCTGGCAACAGGATCACATTCTCAAGTGTCAGAAGTGGCACTATCTTGACATTCAATCTGTAAAATTATTGCCTATGATTATTTTAAATCATGCCAATAGCAATGTGACTATGCAACCGTTCCACAACTGTCTATAATACCCTTGCATGTTTTATTAAAACAAAAACAAAAAACTATAATATATCATTTAAAATATAATTTAGGCTATCAAATGGTCTCTCAATGCATGGAACAAAACCAATGAAAGAGTAAGAAAGGCCAAAAAAGACCCTAAATATATTTACATAATCCCACCGTAAAAATGAATGCGCTTTATCTAATCAAAAACATTGTGGCAACAGATTACAAGCAATATTATTAATTAAATTTAACAATAGAATTGAGTAATAATTAATCAAATTAATTCATTAAAAGTTAACCATTTAAAATGAGTAAAACTTTATTTTAAAAAGTATGTTTAAGTCACCATTATGGTGCTCGGTGTTCTGCTTCAGTGATTCTGCTTGTTAACATCCGGTGTCTTCAATGTTGGCAATATAAAACAAAGATAATATAAAATAGTTAATCTTTGACGTCTGTCTGTTATTCATATTTTTTGGTGTAAACTTGACTCATTTTAAATGGTTAACTATTAATGAATATTTTGATTAATTTTACTCAATTCTAATTTGTTCAATTTTGCTTGTAATCTGTTGCCACACTTTTATTGATTAGATCAAGCATCTTTTTTACAGTGTAACAGTGTGATAATGTGCAATAAATATAGCCTACATGACATGGTTCTACAGCCGACGATAATATTTTGCATGCATTCAACTGTTAATAACCAACCCGGTTGTAATTGCCAATAAATTCCATTGAAGACACATGCTGCTACAGATATTTATGAAAATCGAATTATTCTGGTAATGTCACATGGGTTTGTCTCTCGTTTGTCCAACAAGGTTGAACTTTATCTCTTATCAAACACTAATGAAATAATGGGGCAGACTGTCTCTAATCGTATGTCCTGGACTCCTTTATGCCACAACAATACTTGTGCATGAAATATACACATAATGACTGAATGTTGAACATAGCTATGCACTGACTTAAATGTGGAACAGATCATGCGCTTACGTTTATAGCCAAGTTATATATGTATGCGGAAATTTATAAACAACAAATCTGATTTCTAGGGCCCACAAGACCTTGATCAGGCTGGCAGACCACATTAGCCCATTAAAAAACATGTTCTAAAAACACTGTTTTCAAACAGGGAGAGATCATTTATAGACAAACAATTACACTTTTTTACATAAAAAGTGCATCAAACAAATAGGCCTTTGCTATAAACCTAAAACCATTGTTTGACTTGTATGTCTTAAATACAGTTTAAAGTTTAAGTTAAGTTTAAAACAGTGCCTGTTATTTTCACACTTAAATTATATTAAATGTTGTTTTGTTACATTCACATGCAAGGAGGGCCGTAGTGAACCACAAGTAAATAATTTAAAGGGATAGTTTAATCAAAAAATGAAAATGCCTTTATTTAAGTTACTCACCCCAAGTTGTTCCAGACCTGTATAAGTTTCACAAAAGAGGATATCTCTAAGAATGTTGGTAAGCAGACAGACGCCATATTACTTCCATAATAATAATAATATGGACGTCAACGGTCTGCACCAACATTTTTCAAAATGTCTTCTTTTTAGTTCAACGGACGAAAGAAACTGGAACAACTTGAGCCTGAGTAAATAATGACAGAATTTTTGGGTGAACTATCCCTTTAACTGAAACGTTTAATTTGTTGACAGTGAATTTGTGAAGATGGTGTGTGAGGGAATAATTACACTTAAAAGTTTGTCTTTTGATTTTGGGGTCGAGGGGTTAGTAAAACATACGTACCGATGGGTAGTGCGAGGAAAAATGGTAACCAGCACAGAATGAACATGCCCACAACAACACCGAGCGTTTTAGCAGCTTTCTTTTCTCTGGAAAACTTAAGTAATTTGACTGTCAGCGAGCTCCTAATGTGGCCTTTGCTGCAGTCATCCTGCGCCTGAGAACCTTTACAATGGATCCGAAGCGTCAGCTCATTAGAGTCCATGTGCTCCTTCATCACTCCGGCCTCAAGGTTTTTCGTGGTTCTTTTGGCAACTATATACACGCGGAAGTACATGGCCAGAATAACCGCTAAAGGGATGTAGAAGGAGCCCAGCGAGGAGAAGAGCGCGTAAAACGGCTCCTCGGTGATGAGGCACACAGTGTCGTCCTCTGAAGGAGGCTCTTTCCACCCAAGCAGAGGTCCTATGGAGATGACAAAGGCAAGAACCCAAACACCCAACATGGCCAAGAGCGCCCGTTTCTCGGTCACAATGCTCGGGTACTGCAGTGGGTAACGCACCCCGATGTAGCGGTCAATGGAGATTACGCACAGGCTCATGATGGATGCGGTGCAGCACAACACATCCACCGCAGCCCAGATGTCACAGAAGATCCTCCCGAATACCCAGTAGTTAAGAATTTCACGCGTGGCAGAAACCGGCAGGACGGTTGTGCTCAGCAACAGGTCTGCAATGGCTAAATTGATGATGAAGTAGTTGGTTGGGATGCGCAGGTGCCTGTTGCACACTACGGAGAGAATAACGAGAATGTTGCCGACGATAGCAAACACAATAAAAGCGCCCAGAACCATGCCCAGTGGAAGCGCGCGGCCGATTCTGAACGAGCTCGGCTCGGTCCCGTTTCCCGCGGAGCTCGAATTGTACACGTCGGACTGTTCGGAGGAAGCATTACTCAAGAAGTTCACGGAACGATCTGTATCAGAACTCATCTTGCCTCTGCAGTACCTCCATACCAAAGTAAGAGCAGTTTTTACCTTCAAATGCGCAAATTGTTATTTCTGTATTCCAGAAAAAAAAGATCAGACATGAAAATGACCCGGTTTTGTTGCGCAACAAGCGTGCAATAGGAAAAGTCCATAATTGTAAAGGTTGTAGAAAGTCCAGGTTGAAGATGTGCGTGTCGTCAAACTTGGTTGGTTGAGTTCTCCTCCGCAGTGTCTCTCCCGGTGTTCCCGCACTGCTTCTGACCACTCCTGCATTCACCACCAAACCCCCTCCCCTGTGGAGATACAGACCTAGCAAAGAGGTACATCTTCATGGCCTATTAACCTTTACACATATGGCAAACCGTTGTAACCTTCATCCCGTAAAGCCAGTATCTGTTTTATGTCTTGTTTTTAGGTAATCCATTAGAGTCGCAGTTTCATCAACTACTAGGCTACAGTAGGCTAGGCTACTAATGATTTTTTTTTTTTTTTTATTAGTCACTAGTATAGGCTACTTATTCCTATGCTAATCATATGTGTCAGCCAGTCAGTGTTGGGGTAAGATACTTTTAAAGGTAATGCATTACAGTAAATTAAATAAAGAAATAGGCTAAAATTAAATAAATTCATTAACGCTGCAGTCCGGCGTTTTTCAGTGACTAGTCAATAAATAGAGTAATGATGAATCTAAAAGATCGCTACTGAAATAAGTATCTAAAGAATTGTAAGCAGTGACAAGATTCTTGACTACTGTATTACTTGCTAGAAAGTAAAATATAGTTAGTTTTTAAAGAACAAATGTCACAACGGCTTGTCATATTACACCACCGCATATTTTGTCTTCAGACACATGCAAATTTTAATAAAGGGGCCACTAAAGGCCCCCACAGCGTGCTGTCAGGTAATGTAATGCAATGTCAACAGGACAGCATGCCAACGCATACCACCCGCTCTATTCTTAGGGTCATCCGCGATTTAAAATATGGAAAACTTGCAAACAATATCAAGGTTGTTGATGCGTTGAGCTATCTAGGTACAAATTTAAGTCTCAAGGACTCACTGTGCAGATATTAAATAACAAAAATGTCACACTTGTCGACAGGTTTCTAAAAACAACTACCAATTTAATGTCCTAGAACACATTTTCATGAGTCTGGTCCTACTCAAATGAACTGCAGAAAGCACAAAGTCATTCACTGGGAAATGCCTACTGGCTGTGCCATCTTTAAAGACTGCCATAAGTGTCCAAATATTCCCGCAAATCATCTGTAATTTTATAAACGAGCCACTAACTCGATCTCTTTGCAAATGCCAGCCAAACAGGAATTTGACAGTGATGAAGCACATAATGGCTTGCGCCAAAAAACAAAAAAACAGATAACTCAAACAACAGATGGATGAAAATCCTGAAAGTCTACTAATTTATACTGAAATCAAAGTAAATTGCATCTAGCAGGAGTTGTGAAAGAGGAAACAAGCCTGCTGTTATGCAAGAATATCCTCGTTGTGAAGAAATTAAATAAGCATTTTCATTGAAATTTCAGAGCACGCACTCTGAGAGAGGTTGCAGTGGCATAAAAGTGAGCCCAGGCCTTAAGGATAGGTCATTACAAAATGAAATACACACTGCACTCTCACCAGGAGCTAATGGTAAACGGCAGAGCGTGTGACGTGAAGGGGAAACTTATATCCTTTGTGGATGGCACCAAATGTATGGCTGATGCATTTCAACCCAGAAGTTAGTGCTGAGCTCAGGAGAAACAGCGGCCAGGCCACTGTGACCGCTGCAGTAAATACACACATGCACACAGCACTGTATAGCTCCTGAAAACCATCCAACTATTAGCTCAAACTCACTCCAAGTGAATTAAGGCGATTACATTTAATACCATCGCCGCTTTGGGTGATGAATGACATAAGGTGATTTGAAGTGAAAGGTGAGATTTGAAGGCAGGAAAATGCTGAGCTGTCAGCCAGACCACACTAAACTGCACCATCTTTTCCCAGCGCGGCGGCGGCGGCGGAAAGCATCCGTCAAATGGCACAGCGACACTATATACTCCATATCAGAGAGAAAGCAATTCTTTATGAGTAAATCTCTTTAATGAATTACGTTTACATTACAGCCACAGTATACATGTTCTCATTCTTGAATAAAGAATTGCTTTTAAAATAATAACCAAAGCAGATATTCATTGTTGTGAAGAGATCATGAAAAAGAAAAAGGGTTGTTTTGCAACCCAGTGCGCTTAATTAAGTAAGTGTAATTATCTGGCATCCTGTGAATCCATAATTGCAGATGTAAGATTGTTTTTTTTTTTATCTTCCATAAGGATGAAAAACCTTTGTCTATAAAATGGGAACTGATTTTGTTTCAGACCCAGATTTAAAATTGGACATGAAATTGAGGCCCAAACGCCAAACCAAAGATAAAAATGTCTTTAAATTCAAACTCTTATGTGCATTAATATTACATTTTAAATAATTACCTACAAAAGCTAAATAGAAAAATTGGTTTCAAAAATTTTGGGATCAAAAAATTGTGGCCAACCTGATCTCATAAGAAAACATAACTATTTTACGAGGATGATGATTTTTTGTGAATTTGTATGATTTGATTCAAAGGCGTGTGGTTTTTAGAAAATAATACTGTAATAATAAAAAAAGTCCACCCCTACACCTAACCCTCAATGGGGTGGGAATCGATTGTGTGAAAATAAATAAGAATACGATCGCTCAAATTCATACAAAGTCACCACCATTTTCCCAAAACGTTAATTTGTTATGCATTTACGAATGTGTTATTGTGGCACAAAATTCCCGAGTCTCCCTGGTCTGTCCCTGCGGTTCGGCCCTGGACTCCCTACCTCAACCCTCCTGTCCCTCCCTGGTCACCGCTAAAGACTTTCTGGACTTTCTAAAGACAGGTTCATCCATTTTATCCTACTCCGTCTTGTTTCTCGAGTTTGTGTGCCCATAAAATATCGTCTATTGAAATCATATGATTCGTCTTCTGATTAGTTCTGTGAACTTGGAGGCTTTTGCTGGCAAAGGGAAGTGGAGTTTAGAGGTTTTTGCCAAAAAAACGGTATTTTTGAAAAGGCTGAGCCTGGGATTTAGCGGGTTTGAACGTATACTAGCCTATGTGTGGAGAGGAATCTTTGGGACACCAAAAATTACACAGCGTCTGTCACACCCTTGAAAGGTTTATTTAGTGCTGAAATGATTATTATGATCTTAAGAGCTATTTCATCATGTATGAATAAGACAGCTGAGAAGGATATTACGGTATCCATTAGAAGTTCAACATTAATCCCCCAGTCTTGTATGAAGGGCACAGACCATTATGGAATCCAAGCTTTTCTGAGCGACTCCTGTTATGGTAGCAAGAAAAACTAATCGTATTTCATCTGTCTGGACTGTGGCCAAGAGGCATTTAGCTGCAGAGTTGTGAGGGTTTTAGTGAGAAAGACAAACAACATTATGCTAAAATACTATGGCTAGGTATACAGATTGATACAGGGGTTTGTTTAATCAAGTAAAAGAGGTTGTACGTTTTGTTTATCGCCGGTTTAAGTGATAAGGTTAAATTTGAGTCGTTGACAATGAATTTCTCTTGAGCATTGCTTAAAAACTCTGTGATGGAGATGATGACGCTAAACAGTTTTGTAATCAGTCACAATATAAAAATGTTTGCCTACATGTGTGGGAACGTTTGAATTTGAACATTTGAACACAAAGCAATTATAAAATGACTGGTGTATAAATATACAGTAATATACATTCATGATTCCCCAGAGGACGATAAATATACTAGAGGATCTACATATGCCGCAAATGGTATTTTACTGTAATATACTATTGTTTGTCCTCATGTCTTATTCCCATGGCCTTTTTAAAATGTTTATTCAAATTGCATTAACTATTATTAGCAGATACAACTTTTGATTTAAATAATGTATTTAGTAATGTTGAAATGGGCTTTATGCCTAGCTGCACTACTTCCTGAACTTCAGCCAGCTCCTTGTTTCCTGTCTGCCATTATTGGTCAAATTGATTAATTCAGGTGTGCTTGACCTCAGTAGTCATGGCAACAATAATCAGACACACCTGAATTAATCAATTTGGCCAATAATAGCAGACAGGAAACAAGGAGCTGGCTGAAGTTCAGGAAGTAGTGCAGCTAGGCATAAAGCCAATTAACTAGGATTAATAAATGCCATAGAAGTATTGTTCATTCTTAGTTCATGTTAACCATACCCATTTTTAAAAGAAATTTATTTATTCAGTTAATTTGAGCAATGTTGAAAAAGAAATTATAACAATATTAGCAGATATAACTGTTTTTTACTGTATTTTGATTAAATAAAGGAAGCCTCGTGAGACTTTATATGAGACTTCTTTCAAAAGCATTAAATGAAATCATTAATTTATCAAGACATTTTCCAGCGTATCTTATTTGTTTTCATAATGCCTTTGGTCACATCACTCTCTCAGCAGTCAAATATATGGCACATTTGTAAGATATATGCACATACTTGCAAAAATAATATTGCTCTGGTCGGCTGTGGAATATTCGAATATGAGCGTTATTTTAAAACACGTGTCTCAAAGGCAGAAGAGAAGAATGCCAAGAGTTTATCATGGGACGCAAGCCATCAGTCCATGAGATTTATCTTAGTATTAATATCCTGGATGTTATGAGGATAGCATCTCTTACCTTTTCTTTTGTGCTTCACAAATTAGCGCTGGAACACAAAGTACCAGACGTCGGTATAATTCGCCCATTGCAGGAAGTGCCTCCATTTGAATTCCGTAGTAGATATGAGATAGTTAGATATGGAGTGAAAATACAATCATATACCCAGACCCATTGTTGGTAATGTAACAAGCTTTATCTAAAAGTAATGCATAAAAATAGGTAAATTATCATAAACTGCAGAATTGGATTTCTAGGAAAAAAGGCATTCACATAAATGTAGGCTATTTTTTCAAGAACCCGTTTCCCCTTCCCGCTTTGGGAAATGCACTTAATCTATCACTCTTTCCCCCAGATTTTAATGTGGGATAGAATGGAGAGCTGCAAGATAGAGATGTGGGAAATTATACAAGGGTCATATTGCCTTGATAAAGGAAAAAACTCCAGAAATGGAAGATCACAGTGAATAGTAATTTTTTACACTCATTTGACAGCATCCACAGCAAAGGCAAAGAGTATAAAATGAATGGAAAAGAGTCATCAGACCCGCATTGCATTAAACATAATTACATAGCAGACACTTTTATTCAAAGTGACATGCTTTGAAAATCACAAGCAATCACTTGCAATTTCATGAGTAATCCAGAGTAGGAGCATGACGAGAAAAAGACATGCCTTCAATTAATATCAGATTTATATTTGTATGGAAATGCAAAA